AACCTCCCCTGGCACAACCTGGGGCCTTCTCCCCTTGTCCTGTCCCTCATTCCCTGGGAGCAGAGCCCGATCCCCCTTCCCTGTTCCTGTAGCTGGGGATACTCTGGGAGTACTTTTATCCTGGCCAAGCTGCCATTCCCCAAATTCCCAGTGGGAATTCCAGCAGACATTCCCCACACCCGCTCTCCCTGGAGCATCTCCATCCATCCTCGGGATGGGGATCCAGGGCTGGGCAGCCCTTCCCAGGAGGGATTTTTCCCCAATATCCCAGGGGCTTCCCAGGAGCCTCTGGATCCTGTGGATGGCCGGGAACAGGAGGTCCCACGTTCCCCATGGTTCCCAGTCCATCCCAGTCCATCCCAACCCATCCCAGTCCATCCCAGTCCATCCCAGCCCATCCCAGCCCATCCCAGTCCATCCCAGCCCATCCCAGCCCAGTCCATCCCAGCCCATCCCAGTCCATCCCAGTCCATCCCAGTCCATCCCAGCCCATCCCAGCCCATCCCATTCCATCCCAGTCCATCCCAGTCCATCCCAGTCCCAACTCATCCCATCCCAGTCCATCCCAACTCATCCCATCCCAGCCCATCCCAGCCCATCCCAGTCCATCCCAGTCCATCCCAGTCCATCCCAGTCCATCCCAGCCCACCCCAGTCCATCCCATCCCATCCCAGCCCATCCCAGTCCACCCCAGTCCATCCCAGCCCATCCCAGTCCATCCCAGCCCATCCCAGTGCATCCCAGTCCATCCCAGTCCATCCCAGCCCATCCCAGTCCATCCCAGTCCATCCCAGTGGCCGTTACCATGGCGATGCTGGTGCAGGCGTGGAAGAGGACGGTGAAGTCGGGCTCCTCCAGCCCTTTCTTCAGCGCCTTCAGCCCCTCCACCATCTCATCCCTGTGATCCCGGGCGAAACCTGCATCCAGAGGGAGCAGAATTCCTCAGTTTCCCGTCCAAAAAAACCTCTCAAAAATCCCAAGGAGAAAAAAAATCCCAAGGAGACAAAAATCCCGAGGAGACAAAAATCCCGAGGAGACAAAAATCCCGAGGAGACAAAAATCCCGAGCCAGGGGACCCTTTCCAAGCCCTGCCAAGGAGAGCTCGTCCCAGAGATTTGGGCAGGGCTGGATCAGCTTGGAGAGACCTGGGAATCCATGGGATGGGATGGGTGGAAGGAGATGATCTTTTAAAGCTCATTCCAGCCCCAAATCCCACTTCTGGGATTCCCTGGAATTCCTCTCGGGATGGGTGGAATGAGATGATCTTTTAAGGCTCATTCCAGCCCCAAATCCCACTTCTGGCATTCCCTGGAATTCCTCTCGGGATGGGTGGAAGGAGATGATCTTTTAAGGCTCATTCCAGCCCCAAAAATTCCGGGATTCCCTGGAACTTCAGGAGCTTCCCCTGCTGCCCAAACCATCCGAGGGGCAGCACTGACCTCTCCTGGAGAGCGGGAGAACTCCGGGCTCCGAAAAAAAAAACCCCTTTGGAACAACCTTCCAAAAATCCCTAAAAAAAACCCCTTCCCCGTCCGAGGAGAAGACACTGCTGCTCTGAGAGTGGAAAGGATCTTTTCCTTCTTCCCTCCTGGGCTTTTATTTGGAGGGGAGAAGAGATTGGATCCATCAGAAATAATTTTAAGTCGTGGTATAGAGATAATTAAGAATGTACATAATGTACTGTGGGGTTTATT